AATTATATATATACAAGTATATATATATATATATATATATATATCTACGTACAGATATATACATAAAACCGTTTATATGCATACATATGTGATCGAGAAAACAAAGACGAAGTGTATATCTTTAAGATGCTTGCATTTTAGCGTAAATGTATATTTTGCTGAGAAAACCGATATGTTTTCACATGCACAATAGGAAGACGCACCGTCAATGTGGCAATAATATCATCCATGGTTTCTTCTCAGTGTACAAACTACACTTGCATAAAATGAGGAATTCATATGTATATTTACGTCGAATTTGTTTTTTTGAAATATTCTTATCACTTTCAATCGCCGGCACTCAAAATGGCATCCAATCTATTTATGGATTTACACTGTTTACCATAACGATAATAAATATCGTTCATTTTTAATGCACACATGTGTATTGTTTCCATTTTCACTTTGAACAGTAACAATATATAAATTGCATGGACATTTATCTTTGTTCCGATTTACAGAACGATTAGGTAGGGGTATATAATTATTGTCAGATTTTGGCACAGGTGCTGCGACGAATAAAGTATAGTTCGATATAGTGATTCGCTATGTCTTCGCTAAATCTTTACTGTCAGATTCCAAGTGAGAAATAATTTTAATTCAAAAGCAGATTCGATCCCCACAGTCGGTGCTATTTATATTGTATATTAATATTTACAAGAGAAGATATATAAATTGTGATTCTGTCGATCAGCAATAGTCTATGCGCCCTTTTAATTTGTTGTTTTGTTGCACCAGCAGCGCTACTATATCTATTTGGAGGGGTTATGTTAACAAGTGTCGAATCGATTGAACTGCTCTCAATGCAGATATTTGAGTGCATCTCTCAAAAATAAGAGCCTTTGTACGCTTGTAAAAATATTCGTGTACCATCTATTTGCATATGCATACTAAATATAGTTTTCAGGTACATTGTGCGAAGCAGTGAAGACAACAACAACACAGCTGGATTTAGTTCTAAACATCTCTTTCAAAACTAGAGTTTGGGATACATTCCCCGGCGAATGCGTTCATTTATAGTCTTGGTGCTGGTGGATTAACCGCTCGCGAGGAAGGCCTTAGGCTACACCATAGCTCTTAAATACCGCTACAAAATGTAGTAAATAATATCACGCTTACGAGTGAGATTTAAAATTAAAAAAAGGTGCTCTGTCATCGATATTTGGACAAACGTTGAGGTGGACGTTCGTGAATTTAAAAACATCAGTATGCATGTAGTATTTAAACTATTAAACTAGCTATGTTTGCAATAGTAAAGTGAACAAAGCAAATCGAAGTTCAGTAAAAACATATATTTTTAGACAAAAAAGAAGAGCTCTATTTCATAGCCTTTTAAATTTAACATTTACTTGCTTTTATTTTTTTAAAAATGAAGGAGATTTGCGGGAAAAAAAATATTCGCTAATTTATGTCATCTCCTTGACAACGGAGGTAAATTGTCTCATCCTCGAATCTCGATTCATCCGTCTCAACATAAGAAGAGCGGGCAAAGGTCTCCTTTGAGTGATTACATATAACACGTTCTGGTGATTGAACCAACTACACTCATACTCTACTAACATGCTGGGCTTAACACGTATCGGACTGGCGTGCCTTGCACTCACCGCAACTCAGCCCAACGGGGCTGAAGCTTCCGATCTTGATGTGAAGCTATGGATGAACTGTGGGCATAAGGTATGTTGTAATGAGATGCACCAAATACGAGGGAAATATTTATTACGGATTGTTGACGTACTTTATCTTCGCCGTTATTTTCAAATGAGAAGCACGCATGGCGAAGCCCGCAATGACCCATGCATGTTGCCTGCAACAAAACACTATGCTTCAAATATAATCTCCAAGGGCCCTTATTGCGAATATGAGCCGAAATGTGCCCCGAAGGCGGACAATGTAACGCTGTAGAACCGTACAATCCATAGTATATATATATATATATATACATATATACTATATATATATATATATATATATATATATGTGTGTGTGTGTGTGTGTGTGTGTGTGTGTGTATACCTTTAGTATATTAGAAAGATGACTCTCGAGGCTGATCGTGTAGTTGCACACGTCAACACCATAGGGAAGTTCATATATTCCTATATTCGTCAAATTTGCGTATGACGAGCGAGTAAGACACTGTAATAATCAGTTTGAATATCCTGCATGACAGCGTATTGAAACCCCTACTTCAGTGTGCCATGTACCGATCATTTCCTACGACTTTATGATTACGTGTGTTTCATTTAATATTTTTGTATCCGTGGCCTTTCCCGCCATTAACGAGGCACGTTCATAAGTAGGCATCAATAGGCTCAAGTAGTGTCGCTTCTGTATACAATTTAGAGCTATCAAGGGAAGTAGACTCGATACGCTCTATAACTATCAGGAAAGAGGATACGCAGTGTGCGCAAAACGTTGCTCTGCATTATTTTAAGAGTATACTAGTAAAATTAATGTAACTATTGGTCATGAGTCACGGTCCAAATTACAGCATTCTACTTATTATGAGTGCCGATGGCAAAAACAAGTGTTGACATATCCATGGTGCATAATACGTACTCGCCAACGGAATGTATCTGATTGTAGGGTGTATTAGAAGATTGCAGAGCTGCCATAGCAGGGGGTGTGGATATCAATAAGCTAGATGAAACAGGCGCAAATGCGTTACATTACGCTGTCTTCCATAACCATGACGAGGTGGTCACTTTTCTTGCCAACAATGGTGCTGATATGGATGCGATGGCGGTTGGAAACGAGTATGTGGATTTAATTGCTTTTTTCGCATATCTACGTTTACAATCTGGCCGTGTTAATCGTAGAATAGATATGTAAATGTCGTAGGCATTCAATAACTTGTGTATCAGTTAGCTACAAATACAACAGTGAGTGATACGTCATAGTAGTTTAAGTACACCTGCGTCGGCGGCAATAGCAAAAATAGTGTTGTGTAGCAAACTGTGAATGCTCGCTTCCTATGTCAAGAAATAATATTATTGACCTAAGGAAAACTTGAGGCAGTCATCGGCATGATTCTTGTGGATATTATTAGGAAATCCGGGGTTTGACCAGACCTGTAGCGATTGAAATTTCACTATTCGCACACAACACGAAAACAAAATATCGAATTATAACAGTACAAAATCAATATCAAGCAAATATAAGCCTACAAGTGGGATCAAAACGACTAATGTCAATCCACTTGGCTATTGTTGCTATTAGGCACTGTCATTTTACAGAACTGAAAGTAGCCACGCATCTGACCAGCCTACTAGACTTATGAACGAGAGAGATATGTTTACGTAGATATGAATTGATATATGTATGTATGTATATGCATATGTATCATTTTGGAGTCAATTTGCTAACATGCTAACTAACATACGCACACAATCTAATGGTTGTCCACAGATTGACAGCACTAGACCTTGCCGCTTTCCATGGGTACCCCAAGTGTGCTAAGGCGCTCATTGAGGGGGGAGCTAGTCCTAATATTTTCAACAAAGATGGTTTCTCACCAGTATTCCGAACAATGCTTGGCAAATCTCCCGAACACCTAGAGGTGTTAGAGTAAGTATCTTGTGTTCAAATATAGTGTGGCTTTGTACTACCCCACTTTTAGGTGTAGAGGTGTTGCCGATTTGAGATAAGTTCGGCGTCGTCACTTAGCTTAAGGGGTGCTGAATTTCTGTCTGAAAATACAGGAACCCAATTTTCTCACTCATACATCTCTCCGAAAGTCATGAAGGAACCTGTGTTTTTTCTATGACGAGTTACTGATGACGTATAGTTTGTTTTGCTATAGAGCATGAAACAATCCTCACGTTAGTCGAGCGATATCTAGGTACACGAATAGTTCCTTATCTTTTCTAACAGAAGTCTTATAACTTGATAACAGATATCTTTTGCGGGAGGGTGGCGTTCCCCATGACACCAAGATGTACACAACACTCTCGTTATTCGGTATGTGACGAATATTCTGCGGCTTTCCAATTTCTTACTATTTTAAGTGTGTGATATTTTCATAGTGAAGTGTGGGCTACAAACCAATGCAGTCAGGAGTGAATATGAGACGTGCTTAAAACAAGCTTTTCTCGCGACAAAAACATTGTTAATATACTCGTATAAAAACATGAATCGGTTCTAAACTGAACTACATCTCGGACTATCAATCTCAGATGTGGCCAAAACTTATGAGGAACACAACGAAGGCTATATGCAATTAATGAGGGAGCTGAATATAGGAGCTACAAAGGTTATGGATATGGAGGTGTTGGCGGACATTCTCGAGGGTAAAGACGTCACTCAAGGTCCAGAGGCCAAGGCGGTAGAGAACTGTATGTTTGTATCACATATTGTTGCGTACCACTCACATGAATGGGAATGAACACAAGTGCGAGGAGTCAACGCGCGTTGGGGTTTATCACTGTGAAAAGTACCGTACTAGGCAGTCCACTATCAACTCGGTCGTTCTGATCTGTGTATCCCGAGCACCAATCAACAAACAGCTGTCGCTGATAGGAGTTTTTCTCGGTACTCATTACTATCATCTTTCTTTTTGTTGTCTGCCTCAATCCAAACACACGCAGTTCTGGGTGTCAGTATAGATGAATTGATAAGAGGAATGCGGGCCGGAGGATCCGATCGCGAAGAGATGTCCCAATTGCTATACGAGAAGCTACAAGACGTCGATCCCGCAGCTGTACGTGCAGCTATAGAAATGGTGGAGAGTAGCGATTTCCCAGCTAATGATGCAAATGATGTCACGGACGAGACGGACGAGCTATAACTAACTTAGGAAGAAACACTGTCAAAGTGCAAAGTATCAATGCTAAGAGAACGAGTTGATTCTTACGCTCTCGATTAAGTAGACTTGAGAGGAGGAGGGGGGGGGGTGGATTCTACGACTGTCCTCTACAATTCTGTATAAAAATCTCTACAACCATTGACTATACATTCAATATGGATTTATCGCACGTAAGTGTCTGCAGTCGTCTCGGGTTTTTGTGTCCCGACGGAGTACATAAGCTCATACCACAAGATAAACCACTATCTGTCCAACTCTTACCCTCATAGCAGAAACTATTGAGAACCACACACGAAGTACTCAAATTATTATTTAACTGACAGTCGTCGATGGTGCCAAAAATCTTGAATGAGCTAGTCAAAATACTGTCATAACGCGAGTAAACAGATAATTATCCTCCTATGTGTAGCCCTACAGCTGTATCTGATAATGTTGCAAACAATACTAGTGTAAAAACATGTATAATTTCACAACTATGTAGCGCCTGAACGCGAGATTTTTTCTTATCAGTAGTGTAGTTGTATGCAGACCCTTCAATAAACGGCCAACACAAATTCAATCAATGCTCTGCAGTATTATCAATATGTACAAACGATAAGCATGGGATTATAACCACTTGCGTCATATGCTATCTGAATGAGCACACATTCGACATACATATTGATTTATGTATATGCTTTTATATATGCCCGTATACTGTCCAGATTCGATTATACATTTTAATTCTTTTTATGCGTTTGATGTATATTATATATATAAATGTCCGTCATATATCTGGCGTTACGTATATTTTCCTCGTGTGCCTTCGGTATATCATCCTAGCGTTGTGAGTAACGCACAAACTAGTTCCCTCAGTGGTCCTGCAGCCTACTGAATATCACGTGCGAGATCCGCTCAGGACTTAAAAATGGCGAGAATTTACACGCATGTGAAACTACATACGATTACACTCACTGTTTTAATCATAGGACACAATATGATAGGTTTGACGATCAACAAACGTCTTTCTGCAAACGAGTTTTACGAATGCGTTCGCTTAGAAAGCTTGATATGTGGACTTTCATTACACTTCCATGTCGTCACAAGTTTACAGAGCATATTAACGAATCATCCGCGTGTCTTCAAGTTTAACATTTAGGATTCCATCTCATCGCCGTCGAACGTAATCTCTCGCATATATACTGAAAAATTGTTAGATCGTGAACATCTACTTTTTGACTTGATTGGGCTTGTGAGTAAGCTCTCGTATTTGTATGGCACCACGCTTCCAACAATTCCGATGCACTTTCCCGAACAGAATATCAATAAGAATCTAACTATTCTGATACAGTACTTTATTGATTACTCATCGTCTATATGATGCAGACCTATTCTTTCGCCTCTAAATGGGCATCGGGCACCTTTATAGCTCCCTTGTGCTGGTCCCATACATCCAGCGCACCCTTCACTAAGTGATATGCAATGGCACCCGAGGGCGGCATGAAGTATCTTGTCATACTTTCTCCATCGACCTCTTCTTTGCGGGTCTTTCCCATATACACAAGGTCGTGTACTTGTTGACTGTGATATTAAATGCAACACATTTCAGCAAATTCACAAGCAACAGGTATTGAACAAGCACGTAGAAGTTTCGAACCCAATGTGATGGGCCAACCGTGTATTTGTACCTTAATTGGAAAAATCATGCAGAACGCAATAGTGTACCCACTGACACTAACCCAACCCAAAAAAAATATATATTTAAAAGCACAACGGGGAAAAAAAGATCAACCACGGTGCGAAACGTCTATAAAAATACAAACGCACATACCGGTCGAACCATCGTGCATCCTCGAGTTCGTTTGTATCCACTGTCACGGGGAGGGTGCTATCACCGATGCCAATACACCCTATCATCAACGAATACGGATACGGCCAGGGCTGGGAGCTGTGGTACCGAACTGTATCAATCATGACACCGGCCTCTTCACCCAACTCGCGTCTGCAGGCGTCTTCGATAGACTCCCCGTGCTCCATGAAGCCAGCTAACGCCGAGTACATACTGTGCAGAGCATGGGAAGCGCATGCACGTTTGTAAGCTGACGGAAACCAATGTTGGACGCATATAACGGAGTGCCAAAAAAGTGCATGAACCCTTGTTTGTGTCCATGGAGTTCATTGGTAGATACGATTGTTGACCGGCACATTCATATCCATCCATGAATATGAGATTTGTGTGCTCCAACCGAGACTGACAGCTCTCAAGTTGCTATAATTGCTTTGGTGAACTTCGTATTCCCTCAACACGGGGGATCGAACTAGCAAAGTCTAATTCATGTCCACACGCCTATAGCTAAACCGTTTTGGTTTCAAGTACATTCCAAAAAAAGGCTCGTAAACACTTGTTACGAAAAACAACCAAAATAATCCACAATATTAACCAGCGCGCACAACTACGACATGCTTTGCAGCATAACCAACTCACCCTTTAGGCCACACCGCCTGCCTGCCGAGCATGCACATCTCGCGCTCCAGATCAATTACTATACATATCACCACCGGATCTGTCCTGGGGAACCATTCGCCTCTGCATAGGGCCTTCGTCGTGTCACCTTCACCCAGTTCATTCAATTCATCGTACTTTGAGCGTGCTTTGGTGTTCCTGGAACAGATGCGTTTGCTACCGCCCTCGTAACTGTGTGTGGGCTGGCCACATGTACCGCAGTAGGCGTGGCTCTGTACAATAAACACACAAACATACAAACGATTGTTTAAATCCGAATGAAAATAATTGGATGTGCTATACTTGAACCCTGTTAAAGCAAACAGGAACCAGAATCCGCATCGACTTTAGAATCAGTAGAACTGCTTCATTTGGTGCTTGTCTGTGTATACACTACCCAGGAATACGCCGTGGATTGACGTAATCTCGACAGGCGTGCATTATAAAAATATATTGCACGAATCATTCTCACAAGTAAAACTTGATGAATGAGTATTTGACCACACTCCACGAACGTACGAACATCGGTGAAAGGATGACAAACAAGTAGGAAGTACTTTGCAATATACTTGCGACCATCGGACTTGGTCTGAGCAACTGAGGCTCGGTCGGGTCACAACATGCCGTGTAGCCCCGGTGATCTCGTGCCCCCATCGTTCGTTGAAATATCGCATACAATATCATGCGAAGACAGCCCCCGGCATGAACAGAGAACGCACTTTGGGCAAAACCCGTACACAGAGCTACACTTTCAGCTCGCATGCAAATGGCACTTGCAATATTACACAGGACGATTGCAACTGGTGAAACTACGAAGTCGGAGGGCAACGAGTCACGCACTCGCACCTTCTACGCTCGTAGACACTGTACGTCAAAATTTTAAAAGCTAGATATAGAAATTATTCTGTTCAACCTTGACCGTAAATACATCCATATACACTACTACACGCATTTCGTGGAGATAAAATTAGAGAGGCATTGTGGCAAAATAGATCGTATCTGCACTAGAAGCTTACCGCATGGAAGTGCAATAGTGCCTGTGCATGCGCAGCTACAGCACCATCCTCAGGAGAGAGATGATTTCTTATCACGGTGACGTCACGCAAATTGGTAAATTTAAGAGACTCGGCATCTGGTTCAGGATGTGTATTGATAGGATAAAGATCGAGCACAATGATGTGTAGATAATGCCAACAGGGGGGGGATCGATAGGTACGCTCGATAAAGGGTAGTGATCCGAAAATCAGTAAATTGGTATTCTAACAAACTAAACCCTAAGTCCCAGACGTGTATGATGTCCGTCCCGAGACATACCCAACTTCTCGGTACTGGATTCAACTATGGCAGAGAAGATCGCTTCCTCCTCTATCGTGGATTCCACCTTTAGCGTGAAACACTGGTTGCTAGATAAGGGTGATCAATACCATTCGAATTGGTGACAACTTAAATATCGAAAAATGTGACAATGGCATCGGACACTAGAAAATATGTGATATCCCTCAAACCTTCCACACAATTTTTGGCGCTGAAAAGTGCAGAGCTTCATTGTTAAAGTGAAAACTTACCTGCATGTATCATACTGATCACTTCAATCTCTTAGGAAAATCGAAGGCTCGTTTATATTGCCTACGACTACACACTACTCGAACCGATTCGATAGACAATGTTGACAGCTCTTATATGATATGAAACCCCCTGGGCAATAGTAGCAGAGCGTCGATGGTTTTTATGCAAAGCTACACACAATAGTAAAATATAAGAACGCCCAAGCGTTTTATAAATTACCTCCCATTGGATCCATTCCGCTGCTGATCCCATTCGCCTAAGAACAGCAGATCTTCCCCACTTACAGATCGGGATACCCAGCCCATCTTCGCAGCCATCGCGTCGTACTGGGCCCCTGTCAACCAAAACAACTACAGGGATACAAGACGTTGGTTTGTAAATAAGCGGCGCATGCAACCCATAGAATATGAATAAAATACAAGGGTGAAATGAGAGGTCCTTGGTATTGCAATGTATCTGCTGATCTGTATATCGTCTCTATAGTAATTGAATACAAGTATGAAATATAAGGTCCTTAGCATTGCAATGTATTCTCTATTATAATAAAATACAAGGATGAAATGAGAGGTCCCTAGCATTGCAATGCTTTTACTGATCTGTATATCGTCTCTATAGTCGTATACTTTGACACATGCTTAGATCACGTGTTCGACTATAAATATCGCGCCCGAAATCATTTGGAAATCCGGTTCGTGAGGTCAAAATCTTGCATTGGTGCTAATGTATGACAGCGTGGAGACTAAGAGCTAAGTAGGCCAAATTTCTGAGACAGCCATACGCTATTCTCTGCAATCACCGCACCTCTCACGAAACAATGAAGATATTGACATGATTCTCGACCCTGGCCTCGTGATATTTATTCGTTGCTCACACGTGAATACCATACAGAGATTTGAATGCGAGTGATATATTGGGATTGCAGGAGGGATATATTGATTTCACGAGCGAGCATACAACTACCTCTCGTACACTCGTTAGTTTGTTCTTATTGCTAACGTATCTATGGACGCACAACAAACCAGCAAATAGAATCCACTCCACCAAACATCGTGCCTACTCGTGGTGATCATTTTTTACTGACTTTTCACTAATCAACTAACAGTGACATATGGAACCAGTGAAACAGCTAATTTCAGCAAAATTATAACTACTTGTTTGGTATTTGTAGCGTGCATATGAATAAAGAAAGCAGCCAACCACATCTCGTGCATACCTGGGTCGACTTCTTATCTTTCCCATCTTCCTGCTTTGTCGTGGTGCGTAGAAGTGGCTTTCTATCTCTAAAAAGCAGCAGCGCGAAGTCGTCGCTCGTTTGTCTCTGTGATGAATGGTCAGGTGGTAGGATTATACACGTGTAGCATAAAGATAAACTTGCAGTTTTACTAAAATTATAATCAGCGTGCTCAAAAATTAAATTAAAAAAATACATCGAATCTTGTCCCCTACTCTAATGTCATACGTATGACCCTGAACGTGTCATCATATCACCTGTATATGACTACGATATCGAACGTATGACTACGATATCGAACGAGCCCTATTCAGATCTCGCAGTCAGTTCACATGAATATGTTTATATACACACACACATATATATATATATATATATATATAATATATATATATATATATATATATAATATATATATGTCTATATATACATATATATATATATATATATATAATATATATATAGTATATATATATATACTCTCTCTCT